CATTAATATCTAGAATTAAAGCTGAAGAGATTAAAGACAATGACAGTCAACGAATTAGGAGCTTGATGAAAAGTATGTTTTACAAGTTTTTGAAAGTTAACAAATATATTAGGGTTCTCTGCTAAATAGGCAGGCGGTACTTTCCAAAGAATTGAGGTATAGAGAAAGCGTTACTTCAGATTGATTCACAATTTATTGATGGATATTTTGATGGACTGACTGATCATATTTGTAAGGGCATTCTTCTATCAAATGAAACTGTGAGTGGAAAACATATAATATTAAACTTACAATGAAATGACAAAATGAACCTTCAGTAACTCTATGATTGGAAGCAGAGTTTTCATTCAGGTTTTGTTTTTGGTACTGCTGGCACTTTAGTTTAATAAGTGTGCTTTCAATAAAAAGCACACCTGAACATCCAAATTTTCTACATTTCCCCCCTCTGTCTTTTAGGCAGCTTTCTGTTTGTATTGGGAAGTCCTTACTGAAAGCTATCTCGTCTGATGATAAAACCATGAGTGTATGATGCTCACACATTTTTCATCTCTTTTATGACCTTATCTTTCACAAGCAGCTTCTGTGAAGGTATCCTAACTATAGAAAGCACCTGGAAAACATATATGATATCTATGCTGTGATAAGCAGTTGTGAACAAGAAACTAGACCTGTCAGTTCTAAACTGTTCATTGTTAAAAAAAAAATACTTTGTAGATATAGGTGATTGCAAAGTACATTATAGGGGAAGCAACAGCTGCTGTGATACTCAGTCAAGAAAAAACACACTTCAGTAGTTCTCTTACATAAGAATGAACACACATACAATACACATGCACACACACGCATACTCATACACAGAGTATAAAGCATCTGAAATACATAAGTTGAATAATGCAACATGGCATTCTTTTTTTTTTTTGTATTGTATTTTTAACTAAGTGATTTAAAAAAAGAAGAAGGGGGGGGGGGGATAAAAAGAAAAAAAAACCATGCCAAAATGGAAAAGTAAAGTAGATAAGGAATTTATAAGTATTGTAGAATTAGGTTACATATTTCAATTCTGTATTTTATTAACTACTTTAAATAACTAAATGTATTAAATCATTTTTGAAAGTATCAGTCTTTAGAGTCCAAATAATATATACAGTAAATATAAAAAGCAGTAGTCAACATAGTATAAAGCAAGATTAAGAATTATATAATTTTAGTCTGAAGCATACAAATTTTACACTCAGAGTTACCCAAATTTCAAATATGATAGAATCTATATTTACAGTTGTAATCCAGAATTGTTTCCAAATCAAGTTAGATTTTGTGTCAGATTTACATTTAAGGTACAAGATTAAGTTAGACATTGAGGCATATCTTCAAGGGCTCACTAGCCATTCTTCTCTAGAAGCAATAACAGGTAGTCCTTGCTTCACAACTAAAATTGGGACTGGAAATTTTAGTTGTAAACAATGGAGTTGTTAGGGGAAGCATCACATGACCATACCTGATAGCCTCTTGATGACCTTTTTTGGTATCATCCTTAAGCAAATCATCATAGTTGTTAAGTGGGTGTGATTTGAAACCTTTCCCTGCCATCTTCCCCACTGACTGTTGGAAGTTGGCTGGGAAGATGACAAATGGTCAGAGAGGTGTATTCAGCAGGTTCTGACCAGTTCTGGAGAACTGGCAGCAGAAATGTTGAGTAGTTCGGAGAACCAGCAAATGCCACTTCTGACTGGCTCCGCCCCCATCTATTCTCTGCCTCCCAAGTCCCAGCTGATTGGCTGGATCTTCTTTTGTTGCCCTGCACAGGAGAACGGAGCTGGAAAGCAGGTTAGTGGGTTGTGGAGGGAATGAAGATTTTACAGTATCCTTCCCCTGCCACGCCCACCAAGCCACATCCACCAAACCACACCATGCCCACCAAGTCACGCCCACAGAACTGGTAGTAAATTTTTATGAATCCCACCACTGGAAATGGTGATCATGTAACCTCAGGATGTCACAACTGTCACAAATGCAAGTTAGTTGCCAAGTTCCCCCAAGGATGCTGCAATGATTGTACTGGCAACGAAATATTGTAAGTCAATTGGATCAGCTCTATTGTAACTTCAGAGGGTTGCTAAAAGAATGGTTGTAAGTCATGGACTACCTATAAGTATTTTTTTTTCTTTTTTAAAAAGCATTTGTTGCAGCAGTTATCGTTTATAGCAGTGGTCCCCAACCTTTTTTGCACCAGGGACCAGTTTCACGCAGAAACACTTTTTCAAGGACCGGGTAGGGGCGTGAAGGTTCCAATAACAGTAAATAAATAAGCGATGAACCCGTAACTTACCCTTTCCAAAAAAACTCTCCAGTGAACTCTGTTTCTGGCTCATTTTGCGAGGGCTAGCTTGCATTGCTGATGCAGGATAAATATGCGCCAAAGAGTCAAGTGCGGAAGTTAGGCGAGGGCGGAAGTGGTTGTCTTTCAAAATAAGACACCCGGAAGCAAAAACATATTTTTATATATATTTTAATCACGATTATTCATTCTTTGCGGCCCGGTACAAAATGATCCACGGACCGTTTACCGGTCTGGGGCCCGGTGGTTGGGGACCCCTGGTTTACAGTGCTAATACAATATGCTTTGCAGATGAATGTGAGGTTTGGGAATATATAGCTGAAAAGTGGCAAGTTAGAAAGGAAATCCAACTTTTAAAATCCGTTTCATTCTGTTATAAATCATTTCAGAAAATTGTTGCTTTTTATTGTGCAACATTGCTATCAAATAGGAAAACAGAATCCAATCTGTTTGTTGCTTCTGCGGTAATTTTTAGAAAATATGAACTGTCCAATTTAACAATGGAGCTAGCTCATCACTGACCTTGTTAAAACCACTCTCTCTCAGTCTTAGGATGAAGGCAATGGCAGATTGCTTCTTGCGAATCTTGCCAAGAAAACTACAGGGACTTGTCCTCTGACACACACAAACACACACACTCACTCTCTCTCTCCCTCTCTCTCACATACACATACACACATACACTCTCTCTCACTCTCTCTGTCACACACACACACACATATACACTACCTCTCTCTCTCCCTCTCTCTCTC